ACTAAGGGAGCAAAAGACCGACATTCATGATTTCGTATTCACAACTCATAAGCAATGCTTAGGTGTCCTCGCAATTTTTTTTTTTATATTTTATTTTAGAATTAGAGAGAAACTGCCTCTTTGAAGAAACTTGCACCGTATTAGGAGTGCTACGCGTGTTGCCTGGCTACAAACTACAGGCAGAGCACGATAAGTGAATGTTCTGCGGTTGTAACTTGTTAGTAATAACGTTCCTTGCATTTTCCGTTATTTAACGCGAAAAGGGCTTCAGGTGCGGTCGTACTTAAACGCAACTTCATCGAATTTTTTGTAGTTTTTTTTATATTTTATTAAGCGTCCGGTAGAGGGTTAGGACAGCAATAAGATTATCACCTCCAGTCTTTTCAATTAGAAATAAAAAGCAGGACTGAACACCTATAATAGTACGGTTGCAGACCTGAAACAATGGTATGTCTATCAGTCATCAAAACTGTAATACAGAAGGCAGTCGGAAGCATCATGCCATGATACACTTGCAAATATATATTGACAAAAAATACATCGGCATCCCAGTAGAATGGCTACAAAGTAAATTCAGACAGTCAAAAACGTTCCTATAAAACGAAGAAGAAAAAAAAAGAAACAGAAAACAACGGCGACTGGGCGGCCCTCACAAAGATCATTGCGAACAGTGTATCACGTCAACGTGACCCAGATTCGACCATGCATAAATCTTCGTTCGAAAACTGGGCAAGACGCCATCTGAAATAAAAAAAACCAAAGCGGTATATTATAGTATGCACCCATAGAACGAAGACGGGCGGGCGATTCCTGGAACATCGGCATCGGCGCACCACTGCTGCGCCGTCGCACAGGGCAGTTCCGACCATCAATTTCTGGCCCCAAGAAAGGCTTCCTCTGCCAAACAGACGCAGTGCGCGCTCCTACATGGTTCGAGCATCAAAGGGTCCCCGCGGCCCAACGACGAGAGGTCATTGACCCGATGCCGAGACAATGGGAACGTTTCCGGCGCATCGTTAGGCCTTGATTGGCAGCGACGACCAGCTACGACTGCATGGTCAGTCGCCAGCTGAAGCGGCCTCTCGAAGCCGACACTTGGACTACGGGTGCAGGGAGGCACGCGGAGATTGGAGCCGCCATGTTATTGCTCGGGGCTCGGCTTACTCTTATGCCCACTCCTGGAAGCGTTCCGTCCATTCCAGTCGATGCGTGGGAAGGGGACTTCGGATGATGGACAAACAAAGGACTCGTACTTCCTCGTGGAGTTTATGGCGGAGTGCATTCTGCTGGGAGCCTTCCTGCGGTCGTCGGCGCGTTTCGCCCCTTTGTTCGCGTGCAGTGCAGTTTACAACCTCAGGCTATGAATGTTTGGAGACTGTAGGCGGTGGTCGGGTTACGAGTAGAAGCAGGCAACGTTGTAGCCCTCAGTACAGATACGCCGTGTCGAAATGGGGCGGAGCAGACCGAAACCTATCTGAAGTGCAAACACTCGAAAAATAAAGAAAAGAAAAAAAATATATAAATCACAACACGAATTTCATGAGTGTCGACAAGTAACTTGTTTTTGACAGATTACAATTTATTGTCTCATGTTGCTACTATCGTTCAACAAAACACGATGAAAATACGGCCTCTTGTCCTCTAGTACGCAGTCAGAACGTAGTACCCCGCGAACTGGATCCTAAAGCAAAAAAGAGGTACAAAAATAGTAAAGTGAAAACCATGTAAATACCAAGGAAACCAACAAAATGTAAGAACATGCAGTCTTGTTGATCGAAACCATATTCGCAGAACCGTAAAAATACACACAAAAAAAGGAGAAAAAACACCGTTCGTAAGCTACGCTTAAGTTTCACCCCTGTTAGGCTGCACAGACACTCAGAAACTCCTAACGCCGCGCAGAGAAGATCGCGAGTCATCGCAGCAGTCGCCGAAACCCGGGGCGGGCGGGCGCGCGCATTCCCGAGCGGGGCGTCGAATGAGCAGACGTCACAACAGAGCCACGCAGCATCCCAGGAAGAAGCCTCCTCGCTCGACCCGGGCCCGGGCTCCTATTCATAGACGAACTCGCGGCAACGCACACAGACAACAGCAGCCAGGGGATCCCTTTTTTTAAACCGCGGACGGTGCGTCGCTGCGTTGCCTGCCGCCGGCGGCGCGTGCCCGGGGTGCGCGGCATGCACGCGCGCTCCAACCGCGACAGCTGCTGGGAAGCCCGCTCCGCACGCTCTCGGAGTCCGGGCCCTCGGGACCCACGCAAGTTCCGTACGGCTCCTCGGCGTCTCAGCTGCCTCGGCTCTCGGGCTTGAACTTTGCCCCCCGCCGCCACAGGGAGACAGACGGGAGCGGCGGCTCTCCGATCAAACAGAGCGGAATGAGAAACGAACTTTTGCGGGCCCCCGGCATATGAGCGTGCGCGGCGCCTGCTCGCGAAGGTTCGCTCGTTTACGGTAAACGTTGGCAGGGCGCTTTTAGAGTGTGTGTGCGTTCGTAGGGAGAGGTGACGCGAAGTTAACGGGAGTGCGCCGAGGCGGAAGACGGGGGAGGTTGGCGCTTGTGGCGAGCAGGCAACTCTTCGCTGCTCGTCGACAAGAACTCCGGAGGAGCGAACATCTAAACCGGTTGGTTGGCTTTAAAAATGTCATATGAAATTGCCATTTATAATGTAAGGTCGGAAGAAAGCAAATTGTACAAAGTACATAGAACGCGGAACACAGTGGAATAACGGACTGTCTATTTCTGTGATGCATTTTCTGTGATGAATTACTGAAGAAGTCTGCGACGTACAGTCAAGTTCATTGTAATCTTGCTTTGCAGGGTTTCAGAGGAAACTATATAGACGCCTTCGCTACAAAACCCTAGCTTTAACACACACACACACAAAAAGAATCTTTAAAAACATTTAAGAAAAGATATTTTATTTTGGTGTTTACATTTTACTCCAACGACAGGCACCGGAAATCTACACTAATGCTCAGTCCAAACGAATGACCATGAAATAGCGCAGGATTGAGAATTAATCGAAATGACCTGAGGATATTTAACGCACAGCCGAAATCCCGGTTAACGGCAGCGTTTAACTGTGCGAAAGACTGCTGGCCACTGGGCTGCAATTTGAAGGAGGAGGAGGAATAAACTTTATTATGGCGAGCCTTACACGACAAATAGACTTCGGTTTGAACAAGCCACTGTAGCGTTCGACGCAGCGAAGATGACGCTGAGATGCAAAGAAAAGCTGCACGCGTCGGATAAGGCAGCTGCATTTATCGGGCTGAACCATCGCCGAACATTGACCTAACTCGACAAACAAACAAAAAATATAAAAGGACGGAGTAACGCGACGATAACTCCCGAAAGCTTTTTCACGTCACGCAAATACGTGCTGTCGCGACGTCCCCGGGCAAAAAAAAAAAATCCGCAGGCTCCGTCCAGCAGCATCGGTCGACGCCGCAGACGAGAGCCGAGCAGGCGGCACGTACAACGCGACAACGTCCACCCCCAAACTTGTCATCAGCTTTTCCTTCTTCCCTCCCTCCTTCGGAGACGAATCGGGCGCACGTGCGGGCCGGAGAAATACGGTACGCCACAGCCGGTGCCGCCGCCGCCGACTTCTCGAGGAGCAGCCGGCAGCCGAAAAGGAGAGCGCCGGGGAAAAGCAAAGAAGGCAGGGGTCAGCAACAGGGCAGACTGCACCTTGGCCGCACCATCCCGCCCCCATAGCCTTCTGCACACGCCGTGTGAGGCTTGTGGAAGGGAGAGAGGGAAGGGCACTTCCTCCTCCGGCCTTCCTCAAAGCCGCTTGCCAAACACGGAGTCCGGCCATTCTCCATCACCGGGGCAGACACCCCTCATGCTGGGACCGTCTGCGTTGACGGCGACGCAGTCTGGCCACTTATAAGGGACGACTGGAGATCCCCGTCGATGGCTAATGCGACCAGATTCGCAGCTCATCTTCGTCTTGCCGACTGGCTGCTGAGAATAAGCAGCACAGTGAGGAACTATTTGGGAGCGAAGGATGCCCGGCAGCAGGTCACTGGGACGTGCCGTCGTAAAGACTCGTCCGTGCGCGTATACTGGTGACGAGAGTAGTATTTCATGATTAGTCAGCCTATTATAACTATTACAAAAAGTTTTCAAGCTGGACATTTCGGACACCACCCGAGCCCCGACTATAGCCATGCTCCTCAGCACCGACGACGTACATCTCCCATTATGAGCATGTCTGCCTCGGAGGCTCGGACTTCTCCAGGTTGCGTTTCAGAATGCAGTCAAATAATCGAATGCTTTCCAAGAGCGGCAATGAAACGAGAATTAGATCGTACTATTAAAGCACGGCTGTCGCACTGACCGAAGAATCGTGCTGAGGATTCACGAACTGCCCATGTTAGGACGCCGCCTTGGCGCGGATGTAGCGTGGACAATCAAAGCCGCCAACAAGAGAAACACAACCACAGAAATGGAAATATGAACAACAAAACGAAAACAAATGCCGAAATCGCTGCCGTCCGTCCATACGCTGATTCTCGACGAAATGCGTTAGCATTTAGCGCAGGGGCTACGACTAAACGAAGGATGCCCATTCTAACCTGGCAACGGTATGTTGTCTTCGGAGAGTCACCCCCGAATTCATAGATGTGACTTCAACTGAAGCCGAACTTCGACTTGCTCAAGTCCGCCTCAACACCAAGTTCGACTTGAAAACGCCCAAGCTGGCTTTTACGTTTCATAGACGCTCCCGCGAACTTCCTTCGTCAAGACCCGTTCAAGTCGCGAGCGCTCGCGCTGCTCCCCGCCTGGGAGCGAGATTAGGTTGCAATTTTTCTTTTAAAAAGAGTTTCACACGTCAAAAAGAAGTTGCTTCTTAAAATTTTCTTCATAGCATGTCTTTACGAAACGCAAATCGTGAAAGATGCTATTTCGCAGGTTTCGAAACTAACGTTGTACGCGTTTTCTAGACAAATGCGCTTTTCCGTCTAGCAACGTTGGCTCAATTTGAGCGATGGCTCCTGGCCTGTTTCATTTCGTTTCGCTCGTTGGCGTCGCTCGCTTGTGGACATATTTGGCGTCATGTGAGTTTCGACGTCTCCTTCATTATGAAAACTCGGGAGAAGCTTGAACTAGGATTCACTGAAGGCAAGAAACGAATGCTTATCTGGGTTCAACAAGAATGAAAAGGTATTCGAGTGTGTGGCCGACTCCGGTGCCGTGTCCACACGCCTCAACAAGAAAGTTTAAAATCCTCATAGGATCTTTCTACGGGACTCTGATAACGAAAAAGCGCTTGTAACTCCCGATGCGGAAGGAAAATGACTACGAATTGAAGCGGTGATCAAAGCAGGTAAGTGTTTTTACAACATTTCCTTAATGCAAACTATGCGGCGTAGTACTCGGATATGTAAACTGGAAACTATGCGGCCTGGCCTAAGCGCTCTTTCGGCTGTTTTAAACGTTATTTTGTGTTGCTTACATGTTTCTACAAAGGCTTGTTTTAATGGGCGCCACTACATAAAGCGTTGGGCGCGGTGCCTGTGCTTTCGGTGATCGAAACCAGGAAGTAGCTACCGGGCCTCATAGTTTTCGCAGCTATGCTTACCTCGTCGGGCTTTCGCGGGCAAAAACTCAGGCCCGGAACATGTTGTTCATGAGGCGGTGGAACTGTCACTGATGTTTGGTGCGCAGAGGCAGGGTTGTTCACCTTTTGTAATCAAGAAAGCTATCTTTGAAACTGTAATTTTTCTAATTTCTATTTGATCGTTTCGGCTGTAAATAGTCTCGACGCTGCCACTCTCTCATTTGTGACAGTCATGGATTGAAGTCAAACCATTTTATATGATTTTCAGAAGTCTCCTTCCTAAAGATAATGACCAGGAGCAGGAGTAGCACCTTAGGAAATATTAGCTTTGTGGTTACATCTTGTATATTTCATATAAGTGCCTTACATAAACTTTTCTTTTTTTTTTTAGGAAGGGGACTGCTTTTTCAGCCAGTGAATGCGGTCTGGGCTGGACATAATTTCCAGGCAAGTAAACGAGCATTGTCATGTTGTGCCCCCTGTCCACAGTGATGTGCCCCCCGTCTACAGTAAGTATGCTGCTGCAGCCAACGGTGCACTGGTAGGAAGACGAAGTAACGAGGACACGAGTAAAGCGCTCAAGCTGTTGAATGCAGCTGCATGTATTTGGTGTTGTAAAAGGGCACTTTAGGGCTTGGGCGACTTCCTGTTAAATGTCTATTGAGCATTACAGGTCGGTACCCATTGTCTTCTCATAAATGAGTGACCATGATGCCTGGGAGCACCACATCAGTGTAAGCAATGCTGCAAGCGAGTGGACTAACAGCAGAAAGCATCTCTTCCCGCTGACGTGACTGCAGAAATTTGCTTTTATGGCCTACTGTCGTCTGAATGTGGAAGGCCGCTCATCGCTCTTCCACATGTTCAACCATGTCTCAGAGCTGCAGTTGCTTCACTGACTGAAAAGTTGTGGCTGCCCAAGTCTGCATGCGACAAACTGTTCCAGAGATCGGTATGGCATGTTTCAGTATGGCTAGACATTCTACCTGTTCATAAAAACGTATGCCAGACTTTTTCAAGACAACTGTGACACCCTGATCGTTTGTCGAGTTCAGCGACAACCATCAGTTCGTCACTGTACTCTTCAGTGCCGTGTTTATTTGGCTGCTCGAACATCTTTATCTACGGCAGTAAATGCTCGCACCACTGCAATTGTTAATAGGAAGTCATTTATGACCCGAGCCGTTTTTGTTACGACCATGGCCCTCCTCTCGTGTCCTCGTCACATTGTTTTTCTTCTGCACCACACATCTATGAAGCTTGTGACGCACTAGTTTGCATTCACAAGCTGACGACTCGCACAACGTCTAAACTTGGAAATATATAAGCACCCTGGGAAGGCTGTTTAGTGACTATGAAAATTTGCATAAACTTGAAAACCTGATGACTGAATTAAGGTGGTTGGTTGGGTGAGTTGGTAATGATTGAACATGGTTAAATTTGTGCACAAATAGAAAGGAACAGAGGAGAGAGAAGAGACAAGCACAAACTCACAATTCAATGTATTGAAGGAAGAAAGAAGAACAGCCTCCAGTAACAGCTCGAGCCGAGGCCGGAAGAAAAAAGAACAGCCTGCAGTAACAGCTCGAGCCAAGGCCGGTGTGACCTCGGCTTGAGCTGTTTCTGCAGGCTGTGCTTGTCTCTTCTCTCTCCTCTGTTCCTTTCTACAGTATTTGTGCACAATTTTAAACTGACGACTGAAATGCACTCAATGTGGACCACTGGGAGATAATTTGTTCACCGGCACAGTTGTTTCCTAGATATAAGCACAAGCTTGCGCTCCTTCCATTTTCCTCAACTGCCAAATGTATGTGCAGCATTTGCTGTAGGCTATACGAGGTTGGTGAGAATGATTTTTTTTTTTATAATTTAGCATCTCAGCTCTCTGTAAACACAAAACTTGGAGTCTTTCAGGGCCTCTAGATGCGCAGTTCCACCTCCAGAAAATTATTTTGTGTTTGCCCGTCAGTGCCGCATGTTGGGATATGTATCTAAATAAGCAGCTCTGGTCTGTATGTTTGTTTGTCAAGAGCTTGAGCCATTCCCTTTTTGCAGGTTTTATGTCGGCAGTGTTTCATGATTACAAGACAAACAAGGAGGCTAATGCACAGGTTGCAGCCATTCAAATTCTTTTATTTCGGAAGTGGGACAGCAGTATTGAGGCTCATGCATTTCTGAGGGTGCAGCGAGTAATGAAACGGAAACAGAGGAAGCAATACGTTCCACCATAGTTTTAGCACAGGGTTCACATTAGTTCTAAAGACAATCAAGAAAAGAGAATGGGTATTTTCATTGGGGAAAGAAACACGCAGGGCACAGCATTCACAAGACATGCCACTTAGAAATGCAAGAATCAAAGAGAAAATAACTTGTAAAATAATGAAAAAAAAGCATGATCCCTTAATGATTTAGAAGATCACGAAAATGCAAACAAGACGAGGATGGAGGGAGGTGTACACATGAAATGGATGGTCGCTTTGCATACTCCAGCTTCATCTTTATCTTATTTCCACTGCTTCAGGTTTAGGTCATTATGCCCAAGCAAAGCATAAATCATATCATATTTATTTTCAATTTAGTCATAAACATCAGTTAGACAAAGCATTTCAGTTAGGAATTTTAAAAATGACTGATTGTGATTAATGAATTGTGGCTCACTATGTGCTCAAAAGTTTGAAAATGTGCACTCCGTGCAACATACGTATTATCCCCATTTCATTGGTGCCAGGAGGAAGGGGGGTCCTATACAGTAGCACTCTGGCTTTAGTCTGCTTGTTTTTCTACCCCTTTCAGGTGGCAGTTGCACTGATCTTCTCAACATTGCCCCCTGGCTCGCATGACTGGCAGAGCAGCAAGGATGGCTCGTTCTCCCTAGGTTATGTGATGCTGTGCACGGAGTGATAATTTCAACTACCCGACGAGTATGGTGCCTGGAGCAAGTCTTCGACTGGTGTGTTTAGCGTCCTTTGCTGCCCGTACATCAAAAGTGGTCCGAAAGTGGCAACAAATGACGTCACGGAAGCCGAAGTGTCACGCTGTTGCATGTTGCGATCCTGGCGGTTGGCCATTGAAACGTTAAAGAGCAGCTGCGAGTACCACGAGGCGAACGCGAGTGTCGCTGTCGTCACGGCGTCCCAACTACTGGATACTGAAGCTTCAGTGGACTGTCGAACTGTAAAGCGACCTGCAGTAGAACAGGCGTTTGCCACATCAACCACCGCTGCTGGGACACCGCCAGGATTGCGACCGGCAACATCATGACACTTGTATGATGCACCGGGCAGAAATTGAGGGTTTACTTCTTTGGACACAGTAGACACACCAGTCGGAGATGCATTCCAGGCACCATACCTATCTATACAGTACCACCCTGGCTTCAGTCTGCTTGTTTTTCTTCCCCTTTCAGCTAGCAGTTGCACTGATCTTCTCAACATTATCCCCTGGCTCCCCTGGCTGGTATGACTGGCAGAGCAGCAAGGATGGCTCGTTTTCCCTAGGTTACGTGATGCTGCGCACGGAGTGATGATTTCAACTACCCAACGAGGCATGGGGATCGTCTTTTTCTTTCAGCAGTGTTGCGAGTCTTTATCTGGATGGTGTTGTACCTGAATGAGTTAATAAATGTTACGAGTCGGAGAGACAATATATGATGTTTTCAAGAATTTGGCAAATTATCATCCCAACATCTTCATTATGGAGGTTGCATGCAGATAATATGTGCATGGGTGTGAAGTTTAGTGTGAGTGAACGATCATACAAAAGGTCAACTCATTTTGTCTTGCCTTTATTGCACTGGAAGAATTGTGATGTATTTTTTCTTTCACGAGGCAATAATATTTTGATTGTGGAGTGGACACAAAAGTGTTGTGCCCTCGAATCGAGCTTGGTGCAAACCTGTGCATAGTAATAAATCTTTTTGGAGCAAAACAAAATTAAACCGGTGGCTATTGTTTCATTAGATATTATTTCGGGGAGAGTTGGTAAGCACTCCTCAGCACAGTGCTAAACAATGCTTTCGGCACATCCATTTGTGAAATGTTGCAGAAATCTTAGGAAAAGCAGGTAAGCTTTTCCACAGCTAGTGCACAAATACAGTAATAAAACACGTCAAAACTTGTTGGAACAAAAAATTGGTGAAGTGTGTGGCATCTGTAAAATGTAGAATCTGTACATGGGGGGGGGGGGGGGGGGGGGGAATCAGTGTGAGCTTTCAGCAGCTATATATGACCAATCTTGTTCTAAGCAGCCATTTGACCATTCAGAGATAACTTGAGAACTCGAAATGCATGGTAGTACCAAACTAGAAGGCATTCCTGATTTTCCATATTTATTTTACTGACGCAAGGGGCAAGTTCATACTACACGTCATTTTTTGAACAAGTAATCCAGCACAAACAACACAAAAGTGGGAATAGCTACTACAATAAAGTGGAGATTTGGGCCAGTTGGTTCATTGCAAACAAAAAGCGCCGAATAAATGAAGGGACACAGACGAAGGGAAACAGGACAAGGCGCCTTGTCCTGTTTCCCTTTGTCTGTGTCCCTGTATTTTTTCGGCGATTTTGTTTTTAACAACTGCTAGTATGCATACAGAGAACGTCAGGTCAAGAGCTTGCATCAGTAAACGTGCGTGCACACCGCACATGCTTGCTCAGGTTCTTTGCGCCAGAAGCTCTGGAGGCTTGTTTATTTTCGGTAAGCGGGGGAACCTACCTGGGTAGTTTATGCAGGCAACTGCTCTTAAGTTCTCATAAATGTCTGCATAATCGCCACCGGGACCCGGGCTTTTGATACACGCGTGCGTGAACCCGGTTACTCGAAGGAGGCGGAGAATTTCGGGAGCGCCGGGGAAGTAGACGAGTCCGAGCGACAGATGCCTTACGGTGAGACGCGTCACTCTCCCGATTGCACCGCGCGCCGTCCGTTGTGAAATGTTGACAGCTAGAAGCATCCTGCCAGCAAACGTCGCAGCGTGACGAGCAACTGTAGCTTGGGTATCAGCGGCAGCCGCCTGTTGTCGCCGTTCGGATCAGGCGGTCAAGTCGCGGCCGAGCAGCTCCCGCGCCGTTGCCGTTCGTTGTCGCACATCCCGGTGGGGTGCATTCGATCACGGAGGAATGGCCGCTTCTCTCGGCGAAAAATACCCGTGACCGAGGGCAACACCGCAATTACAGGACACAAATATTGAACGCGGCGATCCCATATGCGACATCACATCAGCAAGCCGCCATGTTGAAATGACTACGAAGTCGTGTTCAAGGTAGGTCCAACCCAGTCTTGAAATTTGGGCACTTCAAGTTCGCTTCAAGCTCCGTTCAAGATCGGTTCAAGTTAAGGCGCGTTTATGAAGCGCGCTTGCTCGTCGCAAGACGGACTTGAGCAAGTTGAAGCTCGACTTCAGAGCAAGTCACATCTATGAATTCGGGGGTCAGTCTTTTGTTTAGATGCGTCGGCGGTTTCGCGTGGAGCCACCAAAGCTTCCCTCGATCGCCGCCTACCGCCTAGAAGACAAAGCCCGTATCGTTGACATTTCTACGTCACCAGCGAAGGACAACACTGGACACACAGATTGGAAACGAGTGCTGCGTCAGCGCTCGGCTTCAAGTCAAGTTTTTTGAGCTGAACGCTGACGCAATCGTCGTGTCCAATCTCTGCCCAGCGTTGGCCTTGGCTGATGATGACATCTGTATCAGTGCTGCAGCTTTGTTATCTAGGAGGTCTTGGCGTAACGCACGAGTCAACTAACGGAGCGAAAAAGCACAGCGGGAACCGCGCATCGCGGTTTCACGAAACCAGTCCAGTGCAGTCCAGCCCAGTACAGCCCAGCCCAGTCGAGCCCAGCCCAGACCTGCCCAGCCCAGTCTAGTCCAGTCCAGCCCAGCCCAGCCCAATACAGTCCAGCCCAGCCCAGCCCAGCCCAGCCCAGCCCAGTCCAGCCCAGTCCAGACCACAACCGTCCAAAAGAAAGACGGCTGCGTGCACCAGGGCACGAGATGCCAACCCGCTCGCTTTCGAGCATGTAAATGACGTGATAAAGTATATTGTCCTGCTCTGCGGTAACTTTTTTTCGTCTCTTTTTCGAACGGTTAGCAGTTGCGGTTAGCAGTCGCGATGCTTTGGGTTATCTTATCTGGCAGTTCGCAAGCGCGAAAAGCGCGCTCTACGTGGCGGCGCTCCGTTCCGCGAAAACGGATGGACCACGCGGCCCCCGCTGTGTAAACAAAATCCGCTCGAACCTCGAGATCTCACAAAGCCCAGACTTAGGGCCCAGAACAAACAGTGCCGTTTCCTCGTGAATGGGAAGCGCTTCTTCACCGAGCCGTACGGCCCGCTCGGGATGGATCCAACAGCGCGGCGCTGCACTCGACCCAGAAATAGCCTCGCCGCCGGGATGTTTACGAGACCCGCCAATTAAGAAGTCACGTCCGCCATTGCGTCTATTCCGCTATCGGATCATGGCCCACGAATAAAAGGGGATCCCTACGACATCGATCCCCACTTCGACTGATTCTGTTCTTGCGCGTGGTGGCTTGTTTTCGGACGGTATGTGTCCGTCTCGTGTGCGTCAAAGCACTGGAATGGATTGTGGTGTCGCCAAGCGGTCACCAGGAGAACCGTCTAGAGGACTAACTAAAACCCCTTGCAACGGCAAGATCATAAAGCATATATTGCTGCAACCGGAGCTCTGGTCCGGTCTGCAGCGGGGCTATATATCGCACTGTAGATGCAACACCGACGCATTAAAGACATCGACAGTGCGGTTATCTCCAGCCATGTAGACCACACTTCATGCAGAAATAAGAGTTGGCGCAGGCTAGCTGGTGAGCGTTCATACTTACAAAGAAAAAGAGACAAAGGAAAAGGAAGCGACAAACACAACGAAGTCTCCAGCATTTGAGACTTCGTTATGTTTGTTCATTCCTTTTCCCTTGTCGCGTTTTTTTTTTTTTTTTTGTGTGTGTGTGTGTTTTTTGTCAAGGTATATATCTGATGGCCGGACACGACGCGCGACAGAGTGCGTTGCATTGTCTCTGAATGTGAGCTCCTACGCTATGATATGAAACGGAGTATAGCCTTTTTTCAGCTCACTATTATATTGATGATCCATCTCTATCACCTCAAAACCTTCATTTTTAATAACCATGCTGCATACACTTCGTCTGGTCAAGCATTTGCACTAGATGATTGTACTAAAAGGTATTCATTACCTTACCAGAACACAATAAATCAAATTCCCAATCCAGCGAACAGGAAAAAAAATAGTCAAGGAGAAACTTTAATTGGAGGAGGAGCGCAGCTGGCCCACCAGATCCTAGGTCAACCGATGAGGAGATACCAAGGACAACCGCACTCACGAGCCACCTCATGTCAATCCAGCGCACTAGTCGGGTCTCTGTGCGTCACTGGTCCCCTCCCTTAGGCCACATGACATTCACACGGCATTGTATTGGCATTCGATGGCTCGTAGCGTCCTTCGCGGTCCATCGCAAGGTGAAACCGAGTACAACATGTCAGACCTCAATGCCTATGTGAGCCCACAGTCAGTGAGGATCACGGCTGTGTTGGGAAGATTTCTATTTGCAATAGCCTAGGGAGTATCCAGCAGGTACGCAACGCGCGTAATTGATCGCATGCATCGCGAAAATGCGAGAACTAGTGCTTGCTTTGATATCTTCAAATGATCTTCTGAGGCTGGAGTCCCACGAGCAATCTTCATGTCCCCCAAAAAACTTTTTCCGGCACTTTGCTACCGGACAGCAGCGACCCGTGACGACAAACCACTAAGAGCCGGTCTCACATTCTTCCTGTATCAAGGTCCTGACAGGCTGGTCACGCAACAACTGTCCGCAGATATTTTAGAAGCGTACAAATATGTGAAGCACAGCTGCTTCGAACATTCGTGAGGCGTGTTCACGCAGGTAATTTTGTCATATCCGCGGTGAACACCGCGTATTTTGTCTGCTGCGTGCCTGCGGTTTAATGACTATGAGATGA